TCAAATAACATACTTCAAAATAACCCATATATTAAAGAACAAATCAAAAGGGGTATTATAAAGCATTTTGAGCTGAATGAAATAAAAAAGAACAGCGAACGTGGGAGGGCTAACACTGATTTAGAGACTTCTTATAAAACTACTGTAATTAAGTTATGTGATTTTGTTGTAAAGATGTTTGTTTTTAATATTTAAAAAGTCAACTCTATGGGTCTATATAAAATGGAACACACAATAGCCAAGTGCTGAAGCACTGGCCTACTGGCTCTAGGATAAAAAGCAGGCCTTGTTGGCTGACTTTCAACTCCTGCAGAAGAATATGGACAGGAAGCCCCTGTGAGAATCAGGGGACCAGAGCCAGGTGTGCCAATTCTAACAGCTCCATCATTTTGCAGGGGATGGGCCATACTAGGCCTCCACCTGGGGTGTGAAAGAGAGAAGAGAGAGCCCCAACCCTGGGAACGGTGCTGAAGATGGCTCTGGCCTGAGGACTAGGACTAGCTCAGCACCCTCCCTGCAGGACCAGAACTCCCAGAATCCCATTAAACCTAGTTCTGAGGGAGGGTCCCAGAGGCCAAGCAGCACTAACAACAGAACTGCCAGACCCAGAAAAGTAGACAAAAAGCTGCAAGCTCAGGGTGAGCTGGCACACTAAGATTTCAAAGCACAAAAGGGAAACTCACACATAAGTTAGCCAATAAACTCAAGAGATGGGAGGAAAATACGGGAGAAATCTGAGAGCATCTTTGCAATTAGTATGTTTAAGATCTAAGAGGAAAAGAAGGAGTAACATACACACAAAAAATAAATAAAAACAGGAAGCTATGAAAAAATAGGTGGATGTCTATGAATCAGAAACAACTGGATGTGAAAAAGAACCAATTTGAAATTTTGGAGAGGAAAAATATATATTTAAATACAAAACCTTTGTAGGTAGCATAAACTGTAGACACAGTTGAAAGTGGAATTAGTGAAATTGGAAAACCATGCAAAGGAATTTATCTGGAATACAGAGCAGAGATGAAAAATATGAAAGAGATGTATAAACATGGAGGATAGATTGAAGAGCTCCAAACTACTTCTAACAGGATTTTCATAACTAGAAAATAGAAGAGATGGGACAGAGAGAAAATTTAAAGGAGTAGTCCCTGAGAATTCTCCAAAATTGAAGAGGGGCTCAGGTTCTCACACAGAAAGCACAAAGAGTGCTGAGTAGGAAAATAACCAAAAATCCAAGTCTAAACATGCTGAACTTAAACTTCAAGCATCAAAGGATAAGGAAAATACTATAAAAGCTGCCAGAGGGCAGATACAGATTACTTACATAGAAATGAATAAAAATATAAGAAAGAGCCAGTGTACACACTATTTCAAAAATATTAAATGTAAAGAAAAATGGGAAAAGGAGGTACTAGCTAAAAGAGGACAAGGTATAGAAGGAATATTATTTATTAAATGGGAGAGACAACTGGTTAATAAATTATGGGGGAAAAGCTAATAAAGAGGCTAAATATAGGAGAGAAGGGATGAGCCAGAGAAGGTATCAAGGATGTGGGTGAAGGCGTTGACCTGGTGGGACCCAGAGTCCTTGTGACTGGAAGGGAGGGGTTTGGGGAAGTGGAGAGGGGGGTTGGCCTGGAGTTGTGGGAGTTCCATTTCATCCCTGAAGTGGGAAGTGATACCCCTGAAAATAAGGAAAGGACAAAGCTGGTGATGCAGTAGGTCGTATATTCATTCCCCTATCATTTATAGAGTACCTACAGATACTAGGGACATACAGTGAACTGAGTGAGGACTCAGTCCTTGGGGCAGCTGCAGTGGGACTGAAACACACCAAAGGTTTAAAGAGGAGAGGAAAGGGAAAAGCAGGGACTGTGGTTGGTGCTTTCCTAAGCAGCCTTCATCTGTCAGCTTGACTTCAAAGAAGGTGTGGGCTACTTTGGCATCACTAACGAGTAGTCCCAGCCAGCTCAAGGTGGGGGCACCCGGGGTGGGTGAAAATAAGGGTAAATCCTACCAGAGATGAGCACACTCTTCACCAGCCAGTGTCGCGACCTGAGCTTTGCCTTGCTTTCTCACACTACAGTTTTTCTTCTCCAGTGGTTCCATTCTGTGAAATCGGAAGTGACATGGCTGGGGTTCTTTTTTCTCAGAGACTCACTCTTTTATTCAAAAAATGTGCAGAGCACCTTCTACATGCCAGGCACCATTGCGGGGGTTATCATGAATTAAGCAGCCATGTCCCCACCTCATGGAGCTCCATTGCAGTGGGGACAGGCAATGAACAATCAGCCTCCAGTGAACATGTAAATTACACAACTCTGAGGAGCTAAGCGCCTTGCGGGCAAAGGAAAGCTGGAGCTAGAGCAGGAGCAGGGGAGGCTGAGGCTGCAGGGGGCAGGCGCACTGTGAAGGCGGTAGGCAGGTCTCTAGAAGGTGGTATCTGAGCCTTCCAGGCACCTGAGGGAGGTGAGGTCTGTGGGCAGGGGTGCTGGCACTGTGCCTCTGAAGTAACCAGGAGCCAGTCGTACTGGCAGTGGCCAGGAGGCCAGTGTGGCTGAGGGGAGAGTATTAGGAGGTGAGGTTGGAGGTTGCTGGAACACACTCTGTCTCTTCTTTGGTGCCTGGATGAGCAAAGTAGTGTGGCAGGCAAGGGGAAGCCGGCCAGGAGGTAGAGGCCAGCCACGCACAGCCCAGGGGCACAGACCCTGGTGCAGTCCCAAGGCCAAGGGCCATAGCGCTTCCCTGGCAGGCTGTCACCCCATTCCAGGGACTCTGGGCCGAGGGAAGGGGAGTCAGACAGCTGAGGGGAGAGATGAATAAATCTCGAGGAGCGGCCTCTGAGTCAGGGTTTCAGGGTGATTAAATGACCTGAGGCCCCTGGATCTGTGTGATTGCCTGACCTCCTCTCCTTGTAAATATGGAGCTGTGTTGGGTGAGGATCAAATATTTCAAGCTTCCAACCCAGCTGAAGCCCTGAATATTAAATAAAAAAAAAAAAAGAAAGAAAAAAGGAAAAGGAAAAAAAAAAAACCACGCATAAATCAGCCTTTCTGTATTTCATCTCGTAGAAGCAGCAGGCTGCCCAAGTCCCGGAGAATCCGGGATCACATAATTAGATCTCACCAGCGCTTCACACACGGCTGTGTCAGAAGAAGGCCCGACTCCCAGATGGAGAGCTTTGTACGTCTCGCAGTGCTACTTCCCGTGGCCTCCAAACGCTGTTAGGATTAACGAGTGCATAGTTGGGGGCTGAGAAGATTGTTTTTATTGCATGTATTTTCTTTCATGCTCTGAAGCCATGAATGCCACAAAGTCTGCTGGTAGAAAATGATTACAGTATGACATAATTTTTCTCTGCCTTAAGAATGCACAGCAGCTGGATGTGAGCTGCGTGGTGCTGCCTGGGCCACTTGGTATAAAGCAGTGTCTGATGCTTAGCCCAGGTCTCCACTTGGGCCAGAACAACCCAGGACAAAAGTCACCATTCCCCCGGGGACGTTCATTCTCTCCCAACATTTGTTTCATCCATATTTATTAAGGAGACGATTCCCTGAAATTACTAACACACATAGTAGCAGAATTACTATGAATGTGGTGCTGTGTTTAAAGGGAGCTGTATCTTTTCATGTGGGAGATTTTTACAAATGTTACCACTTTCAATCCCTAACATCTTTAAGAATTGTTTTTGCTGGCAGCAAGGTGGTGGATCCACAGTTGTAAGGTTCCAGTTTTGTAAACCTGGAAGCCCAGGGCTTCGACATGCAGGCACAGCAGCAGATGCAGGCAGATGGCAGCAGGGTGGTGGGCGGCTTCTCCAGGCTGCTGCTGGGAGAAATGTCCGCTGCTTTCTTCCTGCGGTTGTCTCTGGCCAAGGCAGCTCTCATAGGCTCAGCCCTCACTCAGCAAGATCACATACCCAGCGTGGAAACCAAGGACCAGCCGGGCCGGTTCAGGGGTCAAGAGTAACTAGAGCCAAGCTTGATCGGTTTACATGCAGTGGTGCTTAATAATTCAGGGGACATCTTGAGGCTTCACCAAGATGCTTTCACAGGCTTTACTTTTATGAGCATTTTACAAGCATATTTCAAAACCATATTTTCAAAATTTTTCTGAGTGCTTTAGCTCATCACAGCAGAGAAAATTAGTTAGAGCAGGAGTCTGCAACCTCCAAGCCACAGACCAATTCCGGTCCATGGCCTGTTAGGAACTGGGCCACACAGCAGGTCGTGAGTGGTGGGTGAGCAAGGAAAGCTTTATCTGTGTTTACAGCCCTTCCTCAATGCTTGCACTACCACTTGAGCTCCACCACCTGTCAGATTAGCAGCAGCATTAGATTCTCACAGGAGTGCAAACCCTGCCGCACATATGCGGTATCTCTAGGTTGCACGCTTCTTATGAGAATCTAATGGCTGATGATCTGCCACTGTCTCCCATCATCTCTAGATGGGACTGTCTAGTTGCAGGAAAACAAGCGCAGGGGTCCCACTGATTCTATATTATGGTGAGCTGTATAATTATTTCACTATGTATTAGAATGTAGTAATAATAGAAATAAAGTACATAATAAATGTAATGCACTTGAATCATCCCGAAACCCTCTCCTGCCCCAGTCTGTGGAAAAATTGTCTTCCACGAAACGGGTCCTTGGTGCCAAAATGGTTGGGGACCGCTGAGTTAAAGGACTTCATAGAACTGGGAACGTGCCCCATGTTCATGGCAACCTTGGCAAAGCTGTTTTAGCTCCACCTGAGGAAAGGGGTGTTTTGAGCCGTGGCAGGGCCCCCGATCCCTGGGGCTTTGGAAGATAGGAATGAATTTTCAGGGTTTCTTGGCGTATTTCTCCATCTGTGAAGTGGCCAGGTGTGGAGAAACGTGAGAGAGAGGCTGTGAGTGCTCGAGGAGGGAGCCTGAGAAGAGTGTGCACTGCAGCTGCCTGGCAGGCCTGGCAGATTGCAGACTAACCTTTCATCCTGCTCTCTCTCCAACCCCGTCTCCAGCTGCCCACTCTGCAGCCCAGGCTCAGGACCGGCCAACTGCCACCGTGTCACCCCTGCGCACTCAGAACTCTCCATCCCGCCTGCCTGCCACCAGCCTCAGGCCCCACTCGGTGGTGTCCCCGCAGCACAGCCACCAGCCCCCAGTGCAGATGTGCCCGCGGCCGGCCATCCCTCTCACATCAGCAGCATCAGCCATCACACCTCCCAACGTCAGTGCCGCCAACCTCAACGGGGAGGCTGGAGGGGGGCCCATCGGTGTTCTGTCCACATCCAGCCCCACCAACACAGGATGCAAACTAGACGAGAAGAAAAGTGAAAAGGTAAGAGGCCCATCCTGGACGAGCCCTGAGCTCGAGGCCAGCTGCTTACTGTAACTCTTTGGCACTAGATGGCAGTGGCATTTGTGCAATTGAAGCTTGAATGTGGGCACCAAATGCCTGCCCCTAGATGAACCAGGCATGTGATAGAGAGGGAGCCAAACCACCACAGCAGCTGGTTGGAGAGGAATCAGGCAGGCCTTGGGTGCTGGCAGGGCCATCGCAAGTCCAGCTACATTTCTCATGCAAATTGGAAAAAGGTGTCCCCTCTTGAAAATGCCTTAGTTCCATCTGTTGTAAAATCATTGTAATATACTCATTTTGTTAGAACGAGATATTTATTGCCACGTGCTGGGATATTGTAATGATATATAAATCTACATGTGCAGTGTGAACAGCACCCACTCCCTTTAATATGTCATCCTTGTGCAGTCCACAACCTGTTAAACCATATGGGACAGGCCTATTTCCTGAGTAGCAATGAGAAGGAACAGGAGAATGCTGACCTGATAGCTGGTGTGTTTTTTAGCTATTGTTTTAGCCGTGAAGTGCTGATTTCATAAAAGAAAATCTGGGCCAGGCACGGTGGCTCAAGCCTTTAATCCCAGCACTTTGGGAGGCTGAGGCAGGTGGATCACCTGAGGTCAGGAGTTTGAGACCAGCCTGGCCAACATGGCAAAACCCTGTCTCTACTAAAAATACAAAAATTAACCAGGCGTGGTGGCATACGCCTGTAATCCCAGCTACCCAGGAGGCTGAGGCAGGAGAATCACTGGAAACTGGGGGATGGAGAATGCAGTGAGCTGAGATTGTGCCACTGCACTCCAACCTGGACAACAGAGCAAGACTGCATCTCAAAAAAAAGAAAAAGAAAAAGAAAGAAAATCTGAGTCCAAGAAACTTGTTCCAGTGGCCACCGACCTAGACATTAGATTAACCAGGATGAGAATCCAGACTTCCAAATCAGTGCTGTCCAGCAGAAACATAATACAAGCCACAAATCGAATTTTAAATTTTCAAGTAGCCACATTTTTAAAAAGTAAAATTAATTTTAAAGTAAATTTAAAAGGTGAAATTCATTTTAATAGCTTATTCCATTAAACCCAATATCCACAATATTATTGTTTCAACATGTAACCTATATTTTAAAATTGTTGATGAGATATTTTGCTGTTTTTTTTACATGAAGTTTTTGGACGCCCATGTGAAATCCAGTAAGCAATTCTCCAGGGCTCAGGGCCCACGCACTGCCTGAGACTGTATCCCTAGGGCGTTGGACTGGGTCCTGGGCAGGGAGCCACTCTGTGTATTGGCCTTGCTGCCTGAACAGTTTAGGGATTGTTCTCTCTTGGCTTGACTGATTCTGTGGGTCTTTTGACATCTTTCCATATAAAATCAGTCTTTGGATCAGGATGTCTTAGCCAGGGCTTAGATGGGCACCGTGGACACTAGATGGTATGTTCCAGGCAGGGACAGCCTCTCTCTCTTTCTCGAGGCCATTGCCAAACACAGCACTGACTTGGCGGGCTCTCTGCCCATTACCCTGGAGGCAGGCCCTGTTCCCCTGTCCTCTGCATGAGCCGGGAATGCGGCAGACATGGGCCACACCAAGTTCTGCAGGGCCTCAGCACCACCTGTGTTATTCAGTCCAGAGCGATGGTTGTTCCTGTGCTAACTGGTGTGGCAGAGTCATGCAGCTAGCAAAGCTCAGGTCTGCTTCAGCCTAACAGGGCACCGAACTTGAAGGGCCACAGTTGCTCTGTGTTTTGTGTCTATCTGTTTGAAGAACAGTTCAGTCTTGAATCTGTTCCCTTCTGCCCTGCAGCTCTTGTTATGAGATGTGGCTGGGTCTCATCAGGAGGGAGAGGTGGGATTCACAGTCCTACCCTCTCACTTAAACATTCTTCCTTCCTCCCAGCTGCTCAGGAACAGCCAGGGGCAGATTTGGAAAGTGGGGGCCGTAATAGTTCCTTCAGCATTTCTGGTTCTTTGCACAAGAATTCCCTCTCTTTAGTTTGTGAAGCAAATGGGACTGGCTTCAATATGACTATTGCTGAGTGGGTTTCTATGACATTGAGTCCTGTAGGAATCTACATGGAGGACAGTGCTGTTCCCCATCACGCACCTAAATGTGAAGCTAATGAACACCAGCTGGGTCTGTTCCTAGCCTGCCTATTAGACACTTTGCAACTATTTCGCTTTCACGTACGGTTTATGCCCTCTAACAGTTGTCCTATATCAGCAAAGAGCAGCTGAGTCCAAAGGACACCCCAACATCCCTCTTGATGAAAGGCACCATGCAGGGACGCCCTGCCATGCACATACAGTGGCTCAGCCTCCTCCTCCCCTGGCAGCTCCTGAGCCTCTGTGGGCAGCAGAAGTGCGCAGGCCATGCTTGGGGCTGGGCACATGCTGTGGGCACACAGGGGGCAGTCCACGCTGCACTCCAGGCAGGAGGGGAAGTGGTTTTTGTGAGGCCATGTGAGCTCGTGCCCAGAGGTTCAGTAAACCCCAGTGGAGAAGCACATCGCCCTCGCACACATTGTGTGTGCTTTTCATTCCCACCTCTCGTAACCAACAAAGACAAACACTGTCTACAAAACCAGCTGTGAACATTTTTCCCGTCTGTGTTCCCACTTGAATTTCTCCCAATTTGCAGCAATGCCCAAGGCATCTACAGCTGCCATTTGTAGCAGAAGAGCAGAGATGATGGTCATTTTAGTCTACTGCTCAGAAGCAAGTGAGGCTGTGTGACCTGCACCAGCAGGCTGGGCTGGGCTAGGGGGCTGGGGCCAGCACGCTCCCTACAGGCCACTTCCTGCGCCCCAGCCCGCCATGACTACGCTGAACAGGCTTCCGAACTTTGGGCAACTTGATCATAGATGTACACATGTCTAATTATGGCAAAGGTTTTTTAAAGCATTCGGCGGTATTCTCCAGTCTGTTTCTGTTACATTTTCTTTGGGAAAAGACAGTGAGCTCCTCGCTCCCATGTCCACTGAGACACACACCTCAGTGTGGCGCAGTTTCCTAGCACCAGTGCTGCTAAATTCCACCCAGGCCCTTCCACGCATGTACCACAGAGAAGTCAGGGTTGATGCAGCTCCTGGGCACCATAGAGTAGGGAGTAATTTTCTCCTAGGAGCATGGGAGATTTATGAGCCAATCCCTGAGTATGGAGAAGGAAGAGGCACCAAAACCAGCTCTGTGTTGTATGATGTCAGTGGCTACGGTCGAGGTCCCAGGAGGCTGATCCCCAGGAGGCTGGTGCTGAGAGGCTGGTCCCCAGAAGGCTGGTCCCGGGAGGCTGGTGACAGGAGGCTGGTCCCAGGAGGCTGGTCCTTGGGAGACTGGTGCCGGGAGGCTGGTCCTGGGAGGCTAATGACAGGAGGCTGGTGCCAGGAGGCTGATGCCCAGGAGGCTGATCCTGGGAGGCTGGTCCCCGGGAAACTGGTCCCCAGGAGGCTGGTGCTCTGCTGCTATATCCAGGGGGATTCAGCCTTTGAACTCTGCTCCCTGCATGGCCCGATGTGGTGTGGAGGCCTCTGGGGATAATACAAGTGCAGACAGAGTGGCAGTTCTTTCTACAGACCCAGTCCTGAACCAGAGCTCCTCTCTGGGCCCAGGCGTCTGCCAGACTATGCAGGGACCTCTCCAGCCTACTCGCCCGGGTCTCTTCCCGCCCACCTGCCTGATCATATTGCTCCCTGCAGGGGCTGCCCTGTGGCCAGGCCCCCAACACCCACAAATTACACAGTAGAGCTCAAATCTGGTTTTAAAAGGTGATCTTCAGGATTTAAGTTATCCTTTTGCACTTAAAAATGAATTTTGTGCTTGAAACGACCATGGAACACTGCCTATTGTATCCATCCGTGACAGTTTTCTGGTTTTGAAACTGTGTGAGCACATCAGCACCAGGTGATATGAACCCTCAGGGTACCTAAGTCCAGGGGAGAGTCACCCAGAAGAGAAGGGTGCCAGTGCCTGCCAATGGGCTGCGTGCAGTCGGCATCCCTAACCACCTGGCCGGCCATCACTCATTCTCTTATTTGTGCCCCAACCCCTGACTCATCTGTGTATTGCAAGGAGCATGAGGATGTACCTGGCAGAGCGCAGGCACGCGGTTCATAGTGATGGAAAGATCAACCCTGGCCTGGAGGAGCCAGAGTGTAGTACAGGTCGCTGTACAGGTAAACAGGCGATTGATTGCAGGAGATGGCAGGTGACGGACCTGCGTGTGGGAATAGAGGGTCACCGAAAAAGGTGCCTGGTCAGCCCAGGTCAGGGGAGGATTCCCGGGGCACAGGTGGGAGGATCCTCGGCTGAGGGCCAGCCCGAGCAGAGGCCAGAGGACATGGCCCGAAGGTGAGGGCCAGGGATGGGAGAGGTAGTAGGCAACCCTAAGAGGGACTCGTTGCCAGCCTCTCAGTACTGCAAAATCTGCCAGGTGCTGGGCAGGAGGGTGCCATGGGTGCCACGAGGCCATGAGTGGTGCCCCTTGCCTCCTCGGGGTTCTGAGCCCCTTGCTGTCCCTGTGCGGTTGACCAAGTCCACACGGTGAGAGCGCTCCTGCCAGCCACCTGACTTCTGTGGAGCCCTCTCCTTGGTGCTGAGGTTCCCCGAGGCTCTGGCCCGGCCATGAACTCCACAGCAGCATTCTTCAAATGATCAGTCCAGTGGATTGGGACCACATTTTTATTTAGATTGGACGGGATAAACAGAATGAAACAGGGTAGCATAGATCTTCATGCTGAGCGTACAGTAGGGACGGTACACTGGGGAGCTTCTGTGTTGTTGTGTGCGAGTCCTGACATAAAACTTAATTCAAAAACATCTCAAAGCCTTGGGCCGACAGCCCCTGCCCATAGAAGGCACCTGGTGATGACTATAGACTAAAGAGAATTGGAAAAACTGCTGCCAGTAAGTTTTCACTCTCACAACTTATGGGAAATTCTTTGTAGGCCAGAAAAAAAAAAGGTAACTTTCCTTTTATGGGTGTGGTA